GGCTTTAGCTTTCAGTCACGATTTTACAAGTTTTATTTAGCAGTGGTTTTCTTAAAATTAGGCTACCATTTTACTATCTTTAGCTTTTAGCTTCTGTTGAGCTAGTTTTATGTTTAGACTGTTATTGCTAATATTTTAACAGATGGATTGCTATCTTTGGTTTGCTTTTAGTTAATGTTTTGCTTATAATACATTTTAGTTACTGTTGTGCTGATGTTAGCTTTGAGCTACTGTTTTGCTGATTCAAAGTTTTTAGCTGTGATTTTCCAAGTTTAGGTTTTAGCTACAATTTTGATGGTTTTAGGAATTCCACTTTTATTTTTAACATTTTAATTTGATTTTTTGTTTTGCTAACTTTAGCTTGAGGCTACATTTTTGCTATTATTAACTTTTAGCCTGTGTGTCACTGGTTTTAGCTTTTGGCTATGGTTTGGCAAATTTTTATTTTTAAGCATCTGTTTTGTAAATTGTAGCTTTTTTCAGCTTGTTTTAATTAATTTAGTTCGTTTTGTCTTATTTTTGTCTTTTTGTTGCTTCCACACCTCCTCCGTATCGTTCCCCACCTCCCTCGCTTCTCAGAAGGAAGTAGAGGGAGGAGGCGAGGAGGAGGAGGAGGAGGAGGTGGTGTGCCTTCCTCCCAGCGGGTACGACTTGGAGCTGTACACCCCTCAGCAGCTTTACCGACACCGGCCTTTAGAGGCTCCTGTAAGCTCCATAAAAACAAAACCTCTGGTTTTTATTCTTTCTTTCCACTGAAGCACTGCCCCGCTCTTCCTCCTCCTCCTCCTCCTCCTCTGAAATCATCCTGATGAAGATGTGAACAGAGCTGCTTAGAACCAACACTCTTTAACCGACCAAAGATATGTGAAGGATCGAGACAACCTCTTTAGATTCAGTCAGTTTGGAAGGGAAAGTGTCACAAGTTAGCCCACCTTCAAATTAAATCAATAAAAAACTAACAACAGGTTTGTGTGACAGTCGTCTTAGCGGTTAGCTTTAGCTTTCACTAATTTGTTCCTGCTTTGAGGTTTAGCGTTTGTGGTTTAGCGTTAGCTTCCACTAATTTGTACCTTTTTAGTGGTTTGGCGACAGCTTCCAATAATTTGTACCTGTTTAGCATTAGCTTCCACTAATTTTTATCTGTTTTAGCGTTAGCTTCTACTAATTTTTATCTGTTTAGTGGTCTAGCGTTAGCTTCCACTAATTTGTTTTGTCTGTTTAGCAGATTAGCGTTAGCAGAGCTATGGTTCTTGTTTAATGAATTAGTGGTTAGTGAGGCTAACTTTTTGGTTAGCTGTGCCCACCTCTGGATTCAGCCACAGCTCAGGATTGATGAAAACATGTTTTTATGTCTTGATTTCATTTTTTAATATCCGTTCATTCCTTTGATTCAGGCTCCGATAAAAGTTGGGATGGTAAAGTTTTTGTACTGCCCGTTTCTTCCTCCCTCGTCTGGTTTGACTGAATCACAGCTGTTGGGTTTGTTTCCTCACGTTTGTGTTATGCTCTCGGCTCACCCACACACACTTCACTCTCCTGCCTCCTGAACCTCCYTACGACTGTCCCCATTGCCACGACAACAGCAGCATCTTTTTTCCTCCAACACCCCCTCACCAGGCTCTCTGTGATGGATCGTCACAACACTCCACCGGCTGTGAACACAGAAACAAGTTTGAAACATTGATAACTCCATGTTGAATCAGAGCTGGTTGGTTCTCCTCTGTTCTGTTTGTCGTGTTTCTGTTTGTTTGAAGAGAACTCACGAGCAAAACCAACCACTTCCTGTTTCACTTTATTGACCTCCTGAGACCCAAACTTCTGTTTGCATTTTTGTCTTTCTCCTAGATACCTGGGCTTAGTAGGACCTAATAAGTATAATAACTAGACTCTGTCATGATACAGGAGGTGTTTTCTTGCATAAAACGATGTCCTCATATGAGGACGCTGGGTCTAAGAATGTTACACTTCCTGAAACTTGAGAAACTTCATCATAACTTTTCTGAGGAACAATTTTCCTGATTGATTTTGGGGATACAGCAGCCAATTATTGTATATGTACCACTTATTTAACTATTTGCGCTTGTAAACTGTTGTAAATATTCTCAGATTTGTCCAACTTCATGGCAAAGTCAATAACAAAATATAGTCCCATTGTCCTCACATGAGGACTTCATTTTTACCAACATTTTACTTTGCTACAATTAGGGCTGCCACGATTAATCGACAACTAATCGACTAATTTAATAATCGATTAATCGTTTTCTTGTTTTTGTTGTTGTTCTTTACTTTGTTTTTCTCTCCAAACTGCTTTGACAGCTTCCACTGCCACATCTGCCTTTCTGTCSTTGACACACATGCACAGTAGTGGTAACTGGGGTAGGCCGTGGACGTCACAAGACATTATACAGACAGGCTCTGGTATCATGGCTACCTGACAACAGAGCTCAAAGTGTGGGATCATTTMAAGAAAATGAAYGAGAAACCTGTGTAATATCTGCAGAGCAGAACTTACCTTCCACAGCAATTATTTTTAGTTAGCATATAGCTAAAATCTAACGATGCTTATGCAATAGCAGCTACATTCTGACGTGATAAGCTGTATGTTTTATATTCAATTAACGTATGATTCGATTAGTCGACTAATCGAATAAATAATCGGTGATTAATCGATTATTAAAATAATAATTTGTGGCAGCCCTAGCTGCAATTGCAAGAATTTGTCAAATTTGTATACCATATGAAGCTAAAGATGTAGCGTAGATATATGAATTTAAGCAGGATAAAGATTTATATTTATATTAATACCATGTCCATGTTTCTGACGAGAGTTGTAGAATCTTTTTATTGAGATCGTTTCCATCTTGTTTTCACTGAAGTGAGTGTAATGTTGTCATGTGACCACTAGGCGGTGCTGGCAGCGCCTATAATGAAACCAAATGGCCAAAAAGAAGGCAAAAATGCAATGTCCTCGTATGAGGACACGGGGTCTCAGGAGGTCGAATGACATTTTATCGCACCTGAATGAAGAAAAACATTTATTTTTTAACTCTCCAGCTCCTGATCTGTCCTCCRGTGACCCGGTTCTTCTTCGGCCGGCGGGAACCCTTCCACAAGCTGCTGATCCAGGGGGACTCGGCTGGTCGGCTGTCCCTGTGGAGCGTTCCGGACACCTCGCCYCGACAACCGGCAGGGACAACCGCAGGTAAGGATGACTGTGATGGTGTACGTAAAGAACTAAAACAAAACAAAGTCCGACACAAATAAAGGGCTTACTCGGCAGTTTCATAGGCTGTTAGCATTTAGCATAAAAACATTTAAGGACTTCGTCAGGAAGAAAGCTGTCAGGTCTTCAGGAATCACTGGCCTGTTGTGTTTTACGTGGGTTTTGTTCCTGTCTGCAGAGCTGCAGGTGACGTCCACTGTCAGRCTCCAGGAGGCCTTCGACCTCCTGAGGCCCGTCTCCTCCGGGATCATCGACCAGCTCAGCGTCCTGCCGGGAAAAGAAGAACCCATCAAGGTTTGAGCGCAGAACTGCTCCAGTGTTTGGTCTTAAAAGACAAAAGAGTTTGATTTGTTTCAGTGTGTGCGTGTCTGTGTGTGTGTGTGTGTGTGTGTGTCCTCAGGTGACGGCCAGCGTTTACATCCCGTCTCAGGGTCGCCTGGTCTGCGGGAGAGAAGACGGCAGCATCATCCTGGTTCCCGCCACTCAGACCGCCATCGTTCAGCTGCTGCAGGGGGAGCACATGCTGAGGAGGGGTGAGGAGGGGGGGCTTCAAATACTTTGTTATATTAGCTACATGCTAAATYTAACAAAATTATCATTAAAAGCTAAAATGGCAAAAGGCCAGCTAAAAGTACCACCTAGCTAAATGAAGCAAATGTTTGCTAAAAACTAAAACTATAAAGAATTGCAACAAGCTAAATGTAATCAAAGACTAGTTAAAAGCTAAATTTAGCAGAACAGATCTGTGCCTAGAAGTCAAAAGTACCAAAAAAGCCAGCTAAAAGTAGCAGCCGGCTAGCTATGAGCAGTAACAGAAAGAAAATATAGTAAAAAGCTAGATAACAACTGATGGAACAATTGACTAGCTTAAAACTAAAAGTAACAAAATGCTAGCTGTWAGTAGCAAAATGTTAGATAWAACTAAATTTAGCAATAGGTCAGCTAAAGTTGGTGGACACTAACAGCTGATTGTTGCAAATTGCTAATTAAGTYSRAAATGTAGCAAAGGGCTACCTGAAAGGCAAAAATGACAAAACGTTGGCTTAAAGCTAGAAGTAAAAACCAGTTAGTTATAGGCAGCAACAGGCTAGCTAAAAACTAAAATTGGGAAAAGGCTAGCTAAATGTAAACTTACAAGTTAGCTAAATGCTAAATGTCAAAAGGGGCAAGTTAAAACTCATAGTAGCTAAAGACTAACTAAAAGTATCAGTTTTATTAGAAGTAAGAAGTAGCAAAAGGCCAGCTAAAAAAACACCAGCTAGCCATAAGGAGCAAGTTGAGTAAACCTTGAATGTAGCAAAAAGTTATCTAAAACCCAGAAATAGCAAGAGGCTAGCTAATAGCTGAAAGCAACAAAATGTTAGCTAAAAGTTGATGAACAKTTTCTAAAAGCTAAATGTTGTAAATTGCTAATTAAGTGCTAAATGTTGTAAGATGCTATCAAAATAGCAAAACAGTAACTACAAGTTAGAAGTAACACATTCCTAGCTGGAAGCTAAAAGTAGAAAAGTGTTAGCTTAAAGCTAAAGTGGCAAAAAGTCAGCTAAAAGTAGATAAATACTATCTAAAAGCTAAATGTTGTAAGATGCTATCAAAGTGGCAAAACGGTAACRACAAGTCAGAAGTAACACATTCCTAGCTAAAATCTAAAAGTGGAAAAGGGTTTGCTTTAAGCTAAAAGTGGTAAAAAACTAGTTAAGCTATAAGTGGCAAAAAGCTAGTTAAGCTAAAGGTGTCTAAAACAGCTGATCTTCAGTCTTCTCCTGTGAAGACCTTCAGCTGTTTTAATGTTTCCCTCTTGAAGAACAGTTTTGTCTTTGGGTCCTGCAGGCTGGCCCCCCCACAGGACCCTGCGGGGTCACCGCAACAAGGTGACCTGCGTGCTGTACCCGTACCAGGTGTCCCCCCGCTACGACCAGCGCTCGCTGGTGTCCGGAGGAGTGGACTTCTCCGTCATCGTCTGGGACATCTTCACCGGAGAGATGAAGCACATCTTCTGCGTCCACGGCGGCGAGATCACGCAGCTCATCATCCCACCGGAAAACTGCAGCGTGAGAGGCGCCGACCACGCATTTCCTGCCTGTCGACCCACTTTCTGCTCCGGTTCRGAGGGTTCTGATCCCCCTCTCCTCTCTCTCTGCAGACCCGGGTGCAGCACTGCGTCTGCTCGGTGGCCAGCGATCACTCCGTGGGTCTGCTCAGCCTCAGGGAGAGGAAGTGCATCATGCTGGCGTCGCGACACCTCTTCCCCATCCAGGTCATCAAGTGGCGCCCGGCCGACGACTACCTGGTGGTGGGRTGTTCCGACGGCTCAGTCTACGTCTGGCAGATGGACACAGGTGAGGACTGGGGGGATCTAGATCCTGATGAGAATATCTCTGGGTTCATTTAAAACAATGAAACTTTATTTATAAAGCTGTTTACAAACAACGCAGTTCATTAAAAACCCAAGAGGGCAGGGTAGCATACTGGGCCCATTGCTTTTCCTATTATACATAAATGACCTTCCAAAAATATTGAAGTATTCAAATATTTTAATGTATGCTGATGATACTGTTCTTTTTTGTCTGATTTCAATATTGAATCTATTAAGTCAGTTAAAAGCAGATCTTCAGACATTTCATGGTTCGCTT